TCTTTTGAGTCTTTCACGTCTTATTGCTCATTGATGTGTAAGCGAACCACTTCCAGATTTCGTTGAAACTCGAATGAGCAGGCTTCATTTCGCGCGAAGTAAACCGCTTTATCAAAATATTCAGCCACTCGATCAATGTTTCCGCATTGAAATTCAAGCAGACCATAATTATTGTACACAGTGGCTAGCTCGATATTCGAACCTTGAATTTTCAGAGCAAGCTCAAAATGTTCACTGGCCAATTCATACTTTCCATCACTTAGATATGCTCGACCCTTGTTATTCAAAATATGCAGCTGCGATGCACCAATTGTATGTGCAAAGAGGGGTCGGGGAGGACTAGGTATTGAGTTATTATGTATTACCGTAGTTCCGATAAATCCCAAAGCGTTTCCATAGAACTGTACTGCAAGTAGATACCCTGGCGATCAGCGAGCTCACCCATTTCAGCATAAACAGTTCCACGGATTTCACTCGGAAGTTTCTGGTTGTCGATTTCTTCCAACATTCGTAAATAACAAGTTTTTGCATTAACGTAATCACCAAGCTCTCGTAAGATATTGCCTAGGATCAAATATGAACGGTCACGTCTCGATTCTTCAATATAGGTTATCAACTTCGGATCATAATCGGCACACGAATCAAGTACAATATACCAAATATTATTGTCGAATTTCGTTACCGACTGAATTTTCCAAACGAAACCCATGAAAAACAAAACTTCATTCTCATCTGGACTTGCAGCGACGTCTCTGACGTTAGCATAGGGTCTGATCAAATTTGCTGTCGTACGGTTAACATTAATCTCAAATATAACTCTATGATAACCATCGTGATGCTCCTCAATACCAGCGAACGCTGTGGCAACATTGAAGTTTTCTGTTGTAGAAAAAAGTCCATTCATTGCAATCAGATGATGCTCGTTATCTTGAAATTTTTGTATCACATCGGCTGAGAATCTTTTACCTCGATAGAATGTTTTCCCATGTTGACAGCCGTTTCTTCGTTGTTCATTGCCTAGGTTTTCTAATTGCTTGTATAGATCAGTCAGGTAATAACCAAATCGAAGTATACGATCAATGTCCTCCAGACGAAAGGCTCGATTAATGAGTCGAAAGAAAAATGAACTTCGCGTATAACAGTAAATTGCTTTTTCCAGTCCGTATTCATCCTGAAACTCTCGAACTCTTCTAGCCTGACTGGGATCGTGTCTACAATCTTGGTGGCATAGGTTCCACATATGTCTGATATCATCCTCAGTATACGTTCATCTTATGAGTATTTCCATTATCGCTTAAAATAGAATAAATTTCAATGACTCGTTGTCCAAGTCACAAAATGATCTCTGACCAGATATTGTTTTGAATATATCAAATACTAGTGTGGAATCATCCATTGTCGTTTCGGTATTGCCTAATGGTTGTTCAACACTTGCGAGATCCTCAGTAATATCCTCGAAGACTCTTCTAAACTTGGTGCATAATGATGTCATATTTGGGAGTGCTGATGATTTACAATCTTCAAATGGTGATCGAAATAGCTTCAGACATCGACCACAACTTCGGACAAGATATTCCAGTGCTGTTGCTGTTTCATCCGTGCTACTGACAATGAATACGATACGTTGAATGATGGGTTTTTTCCTCAGATAATCTGCTAAGTCTTTGATGCTGTTGAAAATCTGAGAATAACGAAAGTTTTTATGAAGATGAATCTTCATTTGCCGCAAACAATCAATCGATAGCTCTTGGTCATGAAACCAAATGCTCATTATATTGTCATGATTTGCAAACGGCTCTGTACGAACCATCTTTTCTGAAAATAAACTAAATTACTCACTGAAATCCTTACGAAAATAAAAACTATCAATCATGTCACTGAATTCTCAGACAGATCTGATGATCTAAAACAACTGACAATCAAATCTAAAGCAGAAGCAAAAAAATGAGAAAAGCAAAGTCAAATGATAATAATCATTTTTCGAAACAAAAATTTAATTAAGCGTCACAGTCAGGGTGAGTAGATAAAACTGCTTGGATTTTCGCTTCATAAAACAGACGTGTTTCCGCATCAGTAGCTATTTTGAGTGCTTTCCGGTAGTATTGAAGTGCTTTTTTGTACTCTTTTTCACGAAAGTTGATTTCGGCTATTTTGTGTAATAGATTAATGCGATTCATAGATGATGGTGTAGGAGATGAGAAATCCGTTGCTAGTGAGTTCTTCTTGCCAAGAGCTGCCGATGAAACGTTCTCTACGCCTATCTCTACCTTTTGAAAGTGTTCCAAGACTTCATTATGTTTACCCATTTCCTCGTACATTAATTCCATATTGTTACGGATCGAAGGAAGACTTTCATGATCGCTTGGCAGCATCAACACAAGTTAGTCGCAGTACTTCTTCGCAGCATTGAATTTTTTCAATGCTGTCAAGTGACTACTGAAAGTCAACCAGCTGAGAGAGCTGCCAGTTTCCACTCGAAGTTGATCTTTGATACGTTGCATGGCACTGTCAACAGTTTCTATTTCAGCACGCCAAATGCCATTTGGTACATAATCAATAGAAATGATTCGAAAAATGGTGCCAAGACAGAAGCCCATTGAGTCGAAATCCAACTCGGTCACTGAAGCTCGATTCGATATTTTAATTTCGAGAAGAATGATATTGAGTTCACTGTTGACTGCTTGCTGACAAATATCCGCTACTGATTGAAAGGATTTTGAAGCGATTAAGAATGCTTGCATGGAGAGTAGAGCATTTGGGTTTTTTTTAATCTTTTCTAAACCTTGTTGTGAGATTAATTGAGCTTGATAGACTGTTTTCAATGATGAATCGAGCTTTTTCGCTACTGACAAAATTTTCTGATTAATTTCTTTCAGTTCTGCAATCAACTTCACCATAGAAGACGAATCGAATGTTTCAAAAAGATCATAGATCATCGCATTCCCTTCGATCAATCTAGACAGTATTCCATCACTATCAGCCTGATTAGTCGATTTAATTGGTAATTGTGGCAAGATTTCGGTGAACAGTTGAAATAGAAGAAAATCTGTTTGATAACAAGTGAGATCATTGAGAGCATTCGCTTTAGATTGGAAAACGCTCAAGTTCGGCGTATAACATTGACTTTAGAGATGAAAACATATGTCTGTACTTAATTGTTCGAGCAGGTCTTCGTTGAGAACGAATATTCCGCTTAGTTTCGAAAGAGTGAGCACGGCTCCCGTTTGTTCAATCGACAAGATATCGGTCACGACATAGATAGCATACACAAGTTTAAGTTCAGCAATTGCTAGCACATTGATTAGGTGATGCATCGAGATTATCAGGAAAATGTTGTGTGATGTATCAGCTTGAATCGAACACGTGCAGTCTTTGATCGTATGGAATTCCTTGATTGGGATCTTTGGATGAGTGAGACGAAACGATTGACAGTGATTGATGTGTAACAGAAAAATGTGTATGATTTCAAGATCGTTTCCTGAAATGTCATTGATGGGAATGTTAAGATTATGGCCAATAACCTGCATGCAGAGTTCGGCCAACAATGTTTTCGATCTTGGCCAGCACGATGGTCGTTGTGTAATTAACTGAATATCATCTTGAATTTTCTTCACAAGATTATCTATCACAGAGTAGTGATCACGAATTTTAACGTACTTTTTCGTCCAATCAGACGGTGATTCATCTTGTGAATCTCGATATACATATATATATATGTTCGATATATTGATGATTGTGTTTCAATGGTACCACGAAGGCACCTTTTTTGTTTGACACGACAAAATAAATCATTTTATCTTTAATTGATAATAATTCCGAAATACAAGTGCATTCATCATTGAATGAGACGATTTTATTCGTCTTATTATTAGTCACCAGTGTCGATAGAAAAGTCACACCCAGACAGGCGATGAGTAGGTTAATATTACGTTGAAATTGTGTCGCTTGTATTGATATACCTAGAACTTACCAAAGCAGATGTCAACAGGAGTAGAATGATGATCGGAAGATATTTCCACTGCGTTTCTGAGAAAACTTTCTCTGTTTAACACAGTGAGTCGATTATCCTCATCGACGAACTTTCCATCAACACATTCGAGGTTGAGGCCGACCAGATGATGGTAACAGCTCGCAGCAGATTCTATCTTAATACTTCGGATTGAACTTTGATCCTGAGAAATAACAGTCAATATCAGAATAAGTATGACGCCGATCATCATGATAACCTTACTCTGACAAATTTTACATGTTCTGTACAGCGAGTAACTAAATTCAGATTCTGCACGTTCGATGTGACTAGAGGAAAAAAGTCATTTTGGTAAATCATACAATGATCAATATACGTCGTAATGAATCATACTTGGCTGTTGTGGAACAGATTGAATATCTGAAGAGATCGATGCTGCAATTGAGTCTTCCCACCTATACAGAAGCAGTATCGTGTTAATCAATCATGGGCATGAGAACGAGTCTTTCAGACTATAGTCTGTATGAGGGTGTGGATGTGGGTACTAATATTTTCTATATTCACCTATAATCACACCCACATCCACACCCACACCTCACACCCACACCTCACACCCACACCTCACACCCA